GCAAAAAAAAAAAGAAAAGAAGATGAAGGGGAGGAAGACTTAGGAAAGCTTTTTTGGAGACCCCACTGCTTAAAAAGAACCACAAACACCACCTTTAACAACAAATTAAAATTAAGGGAAAAAAAATAAATAGCCATGACAGAGCAAAGGAAGGCTAAAGAAATGAATAAATACATAAACAAGGCCACTGTTAGCATATAATAGGTCACCACTAGTTGAAGCTTCCCAGCATCCGGAAGACACAGGGAGCTTGCAAACAGCACTCAAGAGCTAGTAGCAAAAGTAAAGCTTTACCCACAGTTATTACCTGCTTTTCCTGTACACAGTATAAAATCCCAAACACATTAACTCAGCGTGACCTTTATGATGTTTGTAAATATGCAAATTAAAATCATAAAGAAAGGTAAGAGAAGTGAGAGGGAAGTGGGCAAGTGCCATTTTTGTATGCAATACAAGCAGCTCCCATTCTCACCAACACCAATTTATCATTCCCAGGAAGGAGAAATCCCAACACCAGCCACCTCCTGATCAGCACTGGGTGGGATAACTTGCCAAGGACCCTGACATTTATCTGTTTCAAAAGGGACACATGCAGTTATGCCACCACAGTGAAACTCTCTGGCCTTTGGGTCAGGCCACAAAGATAACGCAACAGCATCCACCAGAAGAGGAATGTGCAGAACCACTGTGAAGTCACTATTAAGTCTCTGTCCTTAGGAAACATTTTTAAAAGGAAGAGATGAAACAAGAAGACTTACAAAGAACTACATTTATTTTTGTTTACAGCAGATATCATAAATAAAGCTAAAACAATTTTCACTGTGTGCAAAATACAGAATTTCCATGTGAAAATTTAAATACAGCATTAAAAACTATTTAATAAAAATATTCAGTTAAGATTATAAAGTAAAATGAAGACAGAAGATTGAGGAGGAGAAGGACAGAATCCTCACTGGCCAGGAAGAGCTAGGAGGACTCTGCAACAGAGGGTAAAAAACACAGCAGTGGAGTGGTTTGAAATGGCAGGCCTTTATGTCATGACCTTCACCTGAAAGCATGCTGAGCTCTGTAACAAAACACCATAGCCCTGAAATACATAGGAAGTCACGTCCTAACCATTTGTGCAGGAAGTGACGCTTAAAATACAGAGAAGGTTTCTGTGTGGGCACAGAGCGGGGACTTTCAAAGCCATCAAGACATTCTGGCATACCCACACAAATAAATACTATTGCTTAAGCTACACAAATGTACAGGTCAGCAAGATAAGGAGTGTAGAGCTCTGACCCTGCAGCACTTCAGCATTCCTGGCTGAGGTGTGTGAAATGAGGCAAGTGGCAGAGGATGTGTGGCCTCTCCTGAAAACTGCCACTTAGATCAATTCCCGAAGACCCTTCCCTTTAGAAGAGGATCTCAGGAGGGAAGGCTGGGTCATGACCATGTCAAACAAAGCTTTAGTGCACATGATTGTCAGAATGAGCCCTTGGTTCTTGTTTGGATTCATTTCCCCTTCTAGATTATCAACGTGTGATTGATTACACATACTGGAACTTATGTAAAAAATACAAAATAATAGCACAACTTTGTTATGGAGAGCATGGCAAGGTCTCATGCAGCAAGACAAATCCATTCATCACAGTGGCAAATAGGGCCTAGTTAATTAGTTAACAAAACAATTCAAACCAAAACACTCTCGTTATATAAACTTGGCATTCTGATATTACAGACTAAAAATAGCATGCTTATATATTACTGTTAGGCCAGCCTACCATGTTTCTTGGGGTGCAAGACTAGAATTTGCACCTACTTGGCTAATTTTTTAACAGAATCCTTTTATATTGTACTCTTACAGTATGAAAGCAAGAAAGTGCTTAGGAAGCACCACAGTGCTCAAACATTGCTTGTTCACTGCTTATTGGAGCTCAATGGAAATAGGTGGTCACGCTAACCAGGAGAATCAGCTGGCTAATCTTGTCCTGACCTTATTTCAAATCTTTCCTTCAATACTTTGAAAGAAATTTAATTAGTTTTTGAAAGAAACTTTAATTAGTTCTTTCGAGAAGCAACTTACTTACCTAACTTACCTTGAAGGCACAAGGAAGTGTACATGCACAGACAGACAGAAAAACATTCTCTACAGAGAGCACAGACTTTGCTTTTTCTAGAACTGTGAACTCAGCATCAGGTTAAATGATCATGCCAAAGCTTGCATCCATTAATATACCAGACACACACAGTTTGCTCCAAAAGTCTTGAAAAAAATGCCATTGAAATGCTGTCAAACAACAGTGTTAGTCACACAATTTTGGAACTGGCAAGCAGAAAAAAAATCACCTGAGAGCAGAAAGGCTTCAGCCAGTGAGTGGGTGCAGCACTGGAATGATGAAATGAACTAAAAGCAATGAGGGAGATTGACAAAGAAGACAGCCATGAAAAAAAAACAAAACACAGACCTTAACTTGGTTATACAGAAAAGCATCAGAAAGATTATGTAGGCACAGAGAAGAATAGGCCAAAAGGAAACTGCCTTTCTTCATTAAATCATGAATGAGGACAATTAAGTATGAATCTTACTAACAGAATATTAAGATTAAAAAAACAGAAATAAAAAAATCTACCAATTAGATTGATATCAATAAAAAAACCTTGCCAACAGATTCACCTGCAAAATCCCAGTGGGATATGCAGTGCAATTAAGATTCCTCAGGAAAATGTTTTCATTCTGCAGATTCCTGATTTCTGTTGTGGGAATGTAGGGATTTTATTCCTCATTATATAAATCTATAAGCGTCAATGCCATCTTTTTATTTTTTTTAGGTTGAATTTTAAACTTTCTCCTAGTAAGATTCATCTACTTTACATTAATTGGACATCAGAGATTTATAGATTTCTTACTATATCACCATTTTCCATACCAATGGTATGTTTACCATTACGCTCACTCTGCTGAAAAGCAGAAAATTCCCTGTAGTAAACAGTAGAAGATTTCAGGAAACAGTGTTCCTAAGGACTGTGCTGTTGACAAACTGACAGAGAACTGATCGCAAGCCAAGTTTTAAAACTTTACTACTTAGCAGTTTGCTGTGTTGCAGGAGTAACATGCTCAATCACAGCACAGATTTTTTCCTTTTTAAAGTGAAACTATAATTAGCAAATAATTAAAAAGTATACAATGTTCCAAAGTAGGTTTGGGGTTTTTTTACATGCTATTAAAAAAAAGATACAGATACGTTTTGTTACATATATACAGATGCCCACCATGTTACTATAATTGTTGCTGTGTCCAGTCAATATTCTAGCAAAGTTTTGCTAATACATGTTTGAGCATTAATGGCAATTTATTTCAAATGAATGCTGCCTTACACCTAAACAATTTTCTTCAATCACTTTTTCAAGTTCTGTGCATATACTAACAATCTTTTTCCCCCCAAATACATAATCATTTTAAACTGTGAAAAGCTTTATCCTCATAGTTTAAAGGAAGTCAGACTATCTAGAAGAAAAATCCAGTTTGCCATTTCCTTTAAACAGAAGATAATTTCCTCTTTATACCTAAGAAAAAACTGCCAGTCCATAAGCAGCACAGCCATTTAAGACCACTGGAAGACCACTGGATGCTCAACTTTGGTTCTAACTGAATGCAACATTATTTCCTATTATTTAAGCCATATTCTGTTGGCTAGAAATGAATGCTACAGAAGCTTTTAATTTTAGGCTATACATACTACCATGTTTATGTATTTACCTATTTCCTGGTTAACTTCTGAATTTAAACACTCAAGTATTTGAGAGGCAGGGAGCATGCTTACCTTGCTGGCTAACTAGGCTGAAAGTAATCAGGATTTGGGATGTTGGTGTCTCCTTGCCACTAAATAGCTTACTTAACCTGCCCCAACACCTTCTGATTAAGGTAGACTTTGTTGAGAGACATCTGAAAGAAAGTTACTTAACAGCTGCTCCAGACAGAATTTCACCTTTCTGCCATTACACATTGAAATGAATGAAATACCCAACTAAGAATTAATCTCCTTGGAATACATTTTTAGGTTTTTCTTGTTTGCTCTAAACTTGTATTAAAAAAAAAAAATAAAAAATCCAAAAGACAATAGGAGCATTGCCTACCCAGAGGAAACACAGCAGTGATTTCACTTACAGATGAGTGCTCCATAAACTGATATTCCTTGAATCAGCCACCTAATGAGGAAGCCTCGATTTGAGAAATAAGTCAGATCTAATTACACTATCAGTTCCTTTGACCTAGTTGCAATCAAGCCTTCACTCAACTAAGATTTGCTCTTCAAATTTATTTCAAAACTTTAAATAAATTAGTAGTACAGATTATACCCACTATCATCAAAGGGTATCTATCACATATAAGAAATGAAAAAAGGCATGACTAGAAGCAATGGCAATTAAGTACATGATTAATTCTTCTTTTTTTCTTTTTAACATATTCATGCAAATTATAAACCTCATAACGCAGAGCAAAGATGAAAGCAAGGAAAAAAAAAGGTATGCGCCATCTTCAGGTTTCAAAACCCAGTCATTTATCACAAATATTCCCCAAACATCTGAAAGAAGACACATTCTTTCTTGGTCTAATGAAAAAAAGAAAAAGGAGGAGGGCAGGGGAGGGAGCATGGTTTTTAAATATACAATATGCCCCATGGTCTGATCACAGGATAAAACAAGTGAAAAAGATAAATCTACAAACATCCTTCATCCATTGCCATGTTTTGGAAATGTGTCTGGACATTGCCCTTCATGCTCTAACATACAGTACATTTCATATTGAAATTTTTGATTGCACACCTCATATATATCAGAAGGAATCCACCATTCAAGTCACACATTAAATTGTATGAAAAGTAAAAAAGCAAACAAACAAAAAACCAACAAAACCCCCAAAGAAACAAACAAAAAACCCTCAAGAAAATAGTGAGGCTGTTAATTTTGAAAATCTGAAAGGCAAAATTGAGCAAGACACAGAAGAATTTAAACCCTACAGAATTTTTTTCACCCATTCAAGCACATTTTCAAGTGATAGCTCTGCTTCCCGGTACATATGAGTAAGTACCTCTAGAAGAGCACAGAGGAATGGCACACCAAGGCTCAAGAGTTCATACAAGTAGGTATAGTTATATGCATTGTCCCTGAAATGAAGATTGGTAGCGTGCAGAAAACCATGCATCCAGTTAGACAGGCGTCTGGGAATGTCAAGCAGATCCCTTGTCACCCGAAGGGGCCAGCTTAGTGTGCCCCTAAAGAAGGAAGTCAGGATACCTGGGGACCTGTCCTCTGGACTGCTAGCAGTAGACAAAGTGCTTTCTGTGGTGGTCTCTGTGGGTTTGGGTTCCTCTTTCTTCCATGCTTCTGCTGTCTCCTTACATAAAGCGTTAAAAAAAAATGTTATATATACACTTCTAAAATATGGCACATTCAATTTCTGTTAGTGTTTTCAGGTCTTTATATATATATTCACTTCCAATTTCTCCTAAGTTCACATTTATTTTGTATAGAGAAAACTCAATTCCATTCAGAACCAGACTATAAATATGTCAAACAGAACCAGGAGGTTATGTTTTAGTATTGATTTAAGTGCTTCTGGATATTAGCTAGGAAACATCTCTCACACACACATACAATTGCAAGTATTGCACCCTGCTTGAAATAAAGCTGCCTCAACATTCCCTGCATTATTAATATAAACAATATGTACCTTTCCTTGGATCTGTAAGGTTGCTCTTCTCTTTCTCTGCTTAGTACTGATTTTGCAGTGTGTAAAATGAGGTTTGCAGTAAAATTTACCTACAAGAGAAAAAAAAAAAAAAGATTTTTCATCTATATATATATGGACTGAAACCCCACTGCTGCATCCATAAAAAGATAAAATCAGGATAATCAATGGTTGGGCAGCAAAAGGAATGGGAAACTTGCCACCAGCTGAATAGCTCACAGCTCTGAATGGGTTTCTTTTACAGTACACAGATTTGCATGTTTTTTAAATAAGGCAAGGTCATTTATCTACCACACAGGTTTAAGATTAATTAATAGCAGAAACCCAAAATTCAATAAATACAATGTCACAAACCAAAACAAGACATCAAGCAGCAAAAACTCAAATAATCAGTTAAAAAAAAAGTCTTTGCAAAGCATTCTCTGGACTTCAAAAGAGCCACTTTTAGCCTTGAGTCTAATTTTTTCTTTGCAGAAAGAGATCAGGTTAATATTCCAATCTACTCAAACCATTTGGAAGCGGCAAGGGAATTTCAATTCAGTTTAATAATTTCCCTCTAAACAAAAAACAAGCAAACAAACCAAAATGGGGGTGTAGGTGGGATTGAGTGCCCAAGATCTGAATCTCCTGTTCTACAGTAGACTGGAATAAATTACACCACTGCTCGGCCAGTACTACTGCTTTCAATTCCTGAGCCGTAACATCTTGAAAGAGATAACCTATATTCCCTTGATCCATGTAAATCTGCCACTATTGTGTCTTACCCTTGTAGATCATGTTATTTAATGGCCAGTTGTAAATGAGAGATGAGAATAATTCTGTACTGTTGGAGAGAAAAAAAAAAAAAAAAAAAAAAAAAAATCACCTTTCCCCTCTCCCTCCCTCTGTCCTGTGCTTGGACAAATTGCATTTTGATCACTCAAGTTATTTTCCACTGAGGAATTCTTATTTAAAGCTCAGGTCTGTCATAACTGGATTATTTTGAAAGACTAGAACTGCAAGTACAAGGACTTGAAGATCAGTATGGACACAAACAACATATTTGGCAGACCTCCTCTTTACTGAATTACTTGGCCAGGTCTTTTTCCCTGGTTCCTTTAAAAACATCAATACTTAAACAATCAATATTTTAAATATTCTTAAATAGCTCCTCTATTACCTTCCTCAACATCAAAGGCGTAAATTCCTAAGCGGAGTGTTGTAGAACATACTTCACACTTGAAGCACTCCCTATGAAAGAAGTGGCCTTCTGCGCTCAGCCGCTCCATAACGTATACCCGTTTTTTGCAGAAGTAACAAATGTCACTCCCCCCGACAGACTGAGGGAATTCTTTTCGCAGAGATGCCTGTTAAATGACAAAAATAGAAATGCACATAAAGCTGTTGCACTACACCCAAATTCTTAACTGGGAAGCTTCTTTATCTGCTTGAATTTTTACACAGCACCCTCCACACACAATTAAAATGTCAGCTTTTTTATTACTCATTTGCTACAATCCTGTAGGTTTATGCTGCAATTCATAAATCAGACATCACAAGGACTTTAAGGGGTGATTTTCAGCTGGACTTGTATCCAGCTTCCCTCTGGGAGTTCACTGACATTTTGTGTTTACTCAGGTACAAGAGCAGCATCAGTCCCAGATGCTCTTTCATCACCCTGCACTGCGCTGGCTCAGGCACTTGCATCTCACAGTCTGAGGGCATCGGTGCTTCTCAGAAGAGGGCAAAGGCAGACCTTGCTAGCCTCAAATAACAGGCATGCAGAGCTAGGAAAACAGACATCCTGAAACTTTCAATATACACTCGCTCATACACACTCTGGAGGAAAATGTAGGCTTGCATTTTAATGTCCAGGAAGAAAACCTGACAGTCGTTAATGCTGGTGTCTGAACTGTTTTTATCACTGCAGACATGCTTCCCCTCTCAGACATGTTCCTCCCAAGACTACAGCCCAAGCTGGGGCTTGATTTGTTTTAAAAAAAAAAAAAAAAAAATCACTTTCTCTCCTTCCACAGACATGCAGAATATTTTTAACTCATTGGACTTTAAAATACGATCCATATTTACAACTGGAATCTATTGTGAAGGTTTTTGTTGAATTTGGGCTGTCAATCATCATTCTTTAATTGCCATACATCTTACCCTCTCTGGATATACATGCAAAAGGTACAGAAAAAATAAAAAGGTACAGAAAAATAAATTAGAAATTAATTAGATGCCACTGGACTTCCCTTTTCTTATTAGAGGTAGATATGAAGATGTTACTTTGTATTAGTTATAAGTCAGTACAGACGAGCAACCTGTCTCTACCACAGCCATCACCATCTCCCTTCCTTTCCACCATCCCCACTGCCACGGGAGAAGTTCTATGCATGGGACAGAGGAGGCATAGGCTTGGCAGAGACCAGGCACATTCAGACAACAGCACATAGTCCACACAACTCATCTTTAGTTTGCTGCCAAAAAGTAGCCTTGTAACAGCTTCATAATGTTAAGTTCAAGTCACAATTTTAATCATCACATTGTCTTGTGCTTAAAAGTTAAGGACCAAATCTGCCATCAATAATCCGTTTTGCTGTGATGGATCATTTCAGAGCATGAAATTTCCCAAATGAATAACCATGCAAATGGTTACCCATGTATATACATGTTTTTGAAAAAAGAACAGATAGTTACAGTGAAGTACAAGCAACTGAGTTTGTGCTGGCTAATAGATAAGTGTCATCACCACAACACAACATCTTACTTCATTTCCCAATACCTGACAGCTCTGAGCAGTAGAGGCAGAAGATGGAGAATGAGGAATGGGGCAAGAACCTGTAGCTCTGTCCAGAGACTGCTTCTGAATTCAACACAGAACAGTGTCAGAGTTTAAAAACAGCTCTCCAAAATGAGGCACAGTGATTCAGCATTTGTGTGTTAAAAATAACTGCATAAACATATACTATAACAAAACTTTCTTTAGAAGCTGCCCTGATTAATAATTGCCTTCTCTTACTAACTGTACCAGTAATTACGTTTAATAAAACCCTCCTGAAGTTTTAATTCATGCAAATAATAAAAATCTAAATAGAAGACACCGTGAACAACATTTCCAGCACATCCACACATCAGCATGTTTTGCCAGTATGTACTTGATTCCTTAATAAATGTTAGACTAAGATCTTTCATAATGCTTGAAGTGCTCCACAGCCAAAATCTTAAATTAGGATGTTAGTTCCGGAAACACCACTCTTTAAAATCGAGTTATTGCTTCTTTTTGGGTTTGGTCTTACCAGTTCAAGGGGGTTAAGCTGTGGCTTGGGTCTGTGATCATTCACATACAGATTGACAAGAACTTCAGCCACAGCTCCAATTGCACATGATACCTTTCCTACAGTCATCTAACCAGAAAAGAGAAGATGAAGAATAGAAGGAAGAGCTTTAGTTTTTCTTGAAAAAGGATTTTACGAGAAAAGGACAGGGATGATTTGAAAACATGCAAACAACGATAAAGAGAGGCTACGAGAAAGAGCAGAGCCAAAGTCTAGCAGAACACAAGCATGTTCATTTGTTAGCAGCATGGTCCAGCTGGTGGCCACAGAAGTGTGTGCAGTTCCCACACTTCTCTGTGAAATGATGGAGAAACAACTGCTGGGAGCAAACACTCCCACAGCACAGTCCTCCTGCCATGCCTATGAAAGGCTGAGCTGGGAGCTACTGCCTATCAGGGTTGGGCTGTTCTGATAGACTGAAAAAAACAAACCCTGTTCACTTTGACTTCTTGGAACTTTGTTGTTGTATTTCACAGAAGTGGGGACTAAACTTTACATTACCAGACTACAGAATGTGGCATTTCAGGAAACAGCCTATGAAAATGTAGTAGAAATCCCACGTACAAACATTTTGTTGATTCTCACAAAGCAATCATTCTCCCTCTTCCCCATTGACTCAATGCCAGAGAAAACTGGATAAACCATGTTCATGAAAGGAAGCCATCCCCTTTAATCTGCTTCATCACACTATAGCAGCCACAAATGTTAGGCTCTTTCTAACCAAATTTATCAAATAGACAGGCCTGCAAGGAGACTGCACTTCTTTAGGCTGTGGCTCCAAACGCACCACTACCAGATCACTGACTGCATGGTCCAGGCTTCCTTGCCAAAACACATGCCTGGACAGTGGAACAGTAGAAAGGGGGGGTGTGTGTGGCAGGCAGGTAGGTATTCTAATTCCCTGCTCCTGGAAAAAAAGACTGTGAAGACTTCATAGAGCTATAGAAATATTTTCCACCCTAAACCAAATTTGCTGTAGTGACTTTCATTTTAGTTTTATAGTCAACATAAGATCCCACGACCTCTCTGGTAGCAAAGGCAGCAAGAACAATCCTGGTAAGGCCAGGGATCTGGTATTCTGCTTCTGAAGTCAGAACATTCTTTTTATTTCCTAGAGGATCCACTGTCTCATATATCATGCTTCATTTGCCTCCCAAAGAGTCCAAATATTAAAGTCTCACACTTGTCAGCGATACAATTTTTTACTGCCACTACACCAAGTCTTGCTAATGGAAAGGTTTTAAAATATCAGAAAGCTACCAAGAAGAAAAGAGAAAAATATAAAGGCAATGGTATTTATGCTACTTTAAAATAATTTTGAAACATTTTCTATCAAGTTTAAAACAACTATGATGCATTGTGGGTGCATTTTCAAAAATTATGACAGATAAAAATATTCTTGCTAATAAAAAAAAATATAATCCAGAGGAGTATGTCCAGCTCCTTACAGCTTCCCTTATCTTTTGAGAGTTATCCTGTAATTAGCTTAATATCCAGGTAGGTACAAAATATGCAGGTTAAGACAACAAAGGCCATTCAAGGAATAAATTTATGTCCTGTTTGGTTTTGCTTATTATAAAAAGACTTTAAAATGTTGTTCAATATCTGCAGAACTTGCAGGGTAACAACAGCAAAGTAAACTGTTAATTACACACCACAGTGCTGTCCCAAGTGGTACACTAGATTATTAGCCAACAGAAGTGCTACTTGCTACTACAGGAAAACTATGCTCCTTTGTATTGTTTAAAATCACAGAAGACAAAATTTTCCTCCCCAAATTCTGCCCCTCAGAATACGCTGAGTGGCTTTTAGGCCACATACAACTTATTACCTATGAGCTCCTAGGTAAAAGAAAGCTTCTGAAGTTAATTGAAGCAAAAAGTTTACCTTGAACTAGTTAAATGCTGGAGCAATCACTTGAACAATAAGGCTGTGCCTAGAATGCAAGTAGGTGAATTTCAGGAAAAGCATCCTTAAGCCTGAACTACACCTTGAAATTCATCAGGTTGGTCGATTTCTGTTCTCCACCCATTGGAGCAATCTACCTCAACATTAAAGCAGTCAAAACAAGAAAACTGCACATCTGTACATACTTAAAAAATGTTATTAAAAGGAAATGTTATTAAAAGGAAATGTTATTGTAATGAAAGGGAACTCACATTCTGTGTAAAAGCAAGTGGGATTTCAATTTAATCTAGTAACCGAAAGACTGCTGACTACTCTTGTCTCCTACAACCACCATCAACACACGCATTGTTGCTGCTCACCAGTGGGAAGGGCAGGAGGCAAGTGGACTTGAGGACTGATTAGATCTCACTTTATACAAATTGTTTAATAAGGCCACATTACTGGGGAAAGATCTCTATTGGTTCTCCTTACTGAATCAGGAATGTGGGTAGACAAGAGGAGATCGATTTGCTACAACCTTGGCACCACACCTTCCAGGTGATGCGCAGAGGGGCCTAGATAGATTGGAGCATTGGGCAATGATTAAGGGGATAAAATTTACCAAGTCCAAATGCTGAGTTCTGCACTCAGGATAGAGTAATGCCAGGTGCAAGTATAAACCGGGAGAGGGGTGGCTGGAGAGCAGCCCTGCAGAATGGGATCAGGGATTGCTGGTTGGCAGCAGGCTCAGTATGAGCCAGCAGTGTGCCCTGGCAGCCAAGAGGGTAAACCCCATAATGGAGGGCATCAAACACAGCACCAGCAACCAGTTCAAAAGAGGGGACTATCCCACTGTATTCAGCATTGGTGCAGCCTCACATTGAGTACTGTGTGCAGCTCTGGGCCCCACAGCTGGAAAAGGATGTGAAGTTCCTTAAATGTGTCTGGAGGAGGGCAACAAAGCTGGTGGGAGCACTGGAAGGCAAGTCTTGTGAGGGGCAGCTAAGGACTGTGGGCTTGTCTAGTTCGGAGAGAAGGAAGCTAAGGGGTGACCTCATTGCTTTCTACAGCTTCCTGAGGAGGGAAACTGGAGAGGAGGTGCTGATCTCTTCTTCCTGTACCTAGTGATAGGATGCTTGGGAATGGTTCAAAGCTGCATCAGGAGAGGTTCAGACTGGACATTAGGAAGCACTCCTTCACCAAAACAGTGGTCAAACACTGGAACAGGCTTCCCAGAGAGCTGGTTGATGCCCCACGCCTGTCAGTGATTAAGAGGCATTTGGACAATGTCCTTAGTTTCATGCTTTAGCTTTTGGTCAGCCCTGAATTGGTCAGGCAGTTGGACTAGATGATCATGGTACATCCCTTACAACCAAAATATTCTATTGTTTTCTATTCAAAAGAAATTAAATTACAAAATAGAAACATCAAGGAAAGATAAGAAGCCACCAGACCACCTCATGAGCACTTGCAGAAACCTGCAGAGAATGGGAGGGACGGGTTCTAGCCCACCAGGCTAGGGACTTCTGCCCTAATATGACAACAGTACAACCACTGAGTAACCTTGTCTTCTCTAAAACTCACCTAGTTATGGACAAGGACTTCAGTAACATCCTCACCATGTAATCATGTAAGTGTAATAAATTCCAGTTGCAGGAGAGATGGTCTGACCCCAAAATCTACAGACTTTCCTGCAGAGAACCTGTCAGCTCTTACATGGGTTAGCTTTGGTTGATAGCACACAGATCTCTGCCAGCCTGATGCTACTCATGTACCCTAGAAATTCACTATACACATAATAGGTTTTATATTTTGCTCATGCACTTACTACCTTTGAGGCTACTGGTGTACTTGAAGTGCCACACAACCCTGCAATTCTGTAGTGCGGCGGCCACTATCAATAAATAGCAGGTTACTTCTCACAATTCAAGCAGGTTTATACTATTAGCTTTAAACCCTGTGTTGGAAAGGAATCTTAGAGTTACCTTACACAGTGAATTTCAGAAAAAATCTGCAAAGAAAACACTTAAAAATCCACCACGTGTGTGTGATTTGTGAAGACTGTTGACCTGTCAATGACATGTTACCAAAGCTTTTCAGCAGGTTGATCAGAGTGGTTATTAGTGGGAAGCGAAAGCTGCCTTCTGTGTTTCCCCATGTTATTGTTTGTAACACCACAGCCAACCAACAACTATGCCTGGTAGTATTTTCATAAAACAAAGGAAATGTACTCTCTGCCTCCAAAGCATACAATGCTTCCCCTTTGTTGTTTCATATCCTTAATGATTTTCCTGGTCTTATTTAGCTTTGAGAGGTATTTATTTACTTTGGTACCACCTGCTACATATGTTTTACCTCTGAGATAAACAACATGTGAGTAATAAGTTACTGTGTGTAGAAAACACCCAAGCCCTGCTGGTAATTAGTCACCTCACTGAAGGGAAGCAGTTGGTCCAAACACCGCAGGCAGCAAAGCCTACTGATTGCAACATCATAGTTCTTATGACATATGGTGTGGAGTCACGCATGCAAAGCTCAGATGAACACAGTTTTCTGAAGATCAAATCCAACTTTAAACAGACAACAGGAATAACCAAAGCCCAGCCTGTAATATAATATTTGTTCCTTCATAATTCTACCTATGTGAATTTTGACAGCTGATTAAAGCTAGAAGGTAGCTTTGATTATTACTGGCAACTTGCATATACTTTCATGTAGTAGGAAGTTCTTAATAAATTGTAATGACTGTATGCCTTTAGAAGAAACAATATGCTTCCATAGCTTTCCTTTCAAGTGCTCCTTTCAGGACTGAGGCTTAACAGGTTTCTGTAATAAGACAGTATGATTTCTTAGCCACCATTTTCAATAAATACGGTACCATAACTAATACCACTCTAGTGAAAATTCAACAGTTGCAAAGGATCATTGTGTCTCATAACAATCTCAGTACTCACTTGAAATTAAAGTGACGGTTCTAACTACTTAAAGAATGGGAGGGTACTGATATTTATAGGCCATCTCTCATGAAATCTTACAAAACTCAGAAGACTTCCATTATCTTCTGCTGGGAAAATGCAGAAACACTGAGAGCGACATGAAGAAGCTTGTTCTGCTGACTTACCAATCCTGAAGCCCTTTTTCTCACTGAAGTCTAGGCTTATCTCGTGGTATCTCTCAGAACAGGGACCAAAAATAGAAATTCTAAGTCCTATAACCCCAACCGCAAGATAACACAAACACAGGCAATTAATTACCAGTGCATACTCAGAGCAGAGAAGTCCAAACATACTGTTAAATTATCATGCATAGCACTTGAAAATGTGCACTGCGCACCTGAAATATGATCTGATTTTATTTTATAGTGCTGCACATTTAGCCAGTGTTTTAGAGTAGGATAAAATTTTCATGTTACAAAAAGTGGTGAGGCACTGGAATGGGTTGCCCAGGGAGGTTGTGAATGCTCCATCCCTGGCAGCATTCAAGATCAGGTTGGACGAAGCCTTGGGTGAGATGGCTTAGTGTGAGGTGTCCCTGCCCATGGCAGGGGGGTTGGAACTAGATGATCTTAAGGTCCTTTCCAACCCTAACTATTCTATGATTCTATGATTCTAAGTGTGCAATCTTAAGACAAAACCCAGGGACAAGAAGTTAACCATGAAAGGGCACAGACAGATTGCTTGTTATGAAATCCAGGTTCAGCAGGTGTTCTCTGAAAAACTGATACTCTCACAGTAAAACAGCAGTAAGAAACCTGCTTCTGGAAAAATTTTGCTTGAGAAATAACAGAAGATAAGCCAGAACATGGCCTGTGTAACTTAAAGAGAAACAGAAATTAAGTTGCCAAAGAGAGGTAAAGCTAAAGTAATGGGTATCACAGGACTAAACCAACCTCACAGCACATGAATAAATAGTATGGAGAACAAAAGTCTTGCACATCCATTAACACCTCACCACCACATCATCAATGCAAGTAAGGGGCCTAGACATAGGTCCACAGAGCCATTTAGTTCATCTTCTGTCCTCAGGACAGATCCATTTTACTTGTGTAAAGTGCACATTGGCATAACCTGCTCCAAACATAACCTGCTGCAGACTGCAGGCCTCCTCCAGCACCCTGCTACTTACTATTCAGGGGTCTCCTATCCCCATCCCCAAGCCTCACCTGAATCTCTGTTTCCATAGTGACTGTCCACTTACTGTGCCAAAACTGAGCATGGAGGACAGGTACCCTCCCCTTCTCTGCAACAGCTTTGAGACACCATGGCTGACTGACCCTGTCTAACCCCTCCGCTTGCTTTAAGTTACCCCTGTAGCATCTACCTCAAAGGGGAGGAAAGTTAAAGCTTGCCTGTTCATTATCAGACCTGCTATTTAAAAATTCCCAAATATGCTGTGCCAAATGCACCATATTTAGACATATGTAATGCATACAGTGTACAAGAAGACCTGAGCCTATGTAACCCTATGGAGCAGCATAGTAGGCATCAAGATGTTCATACATGTAGATCTGCCAAAGAATACATGTAGTCCTACCTAACCAGCCAAATATTTACCAAATGAGATGAATGTATATTTTCTGTACTGGTGACAGAATAAGATTTTCTTGGCTCAGCAGCTGTGCTGCATTCTGCCATCACCTCTGGAGTAATGGCAGAATGGAGAGCATTTTTCAATTGACGTAAACTCAGCCTGACTGAAATCAAGTCATAACAAAATATTGCTACATCATTCAAATACAATGGCAAGCTAATAAAAGACTGTAAGTGTAGTTCAAACAAAACACAGTTAGATTAAAACATTCAAAAATGACTGCTCAGGCCAAACGCTCTCTATGAAAAAAACTTTAAAACCCAGTAAAATTATGGCTCTGTACAGAGTTTCTGTATGATTAAGAACTTAGTTCTCATATGTTAAAGGGTTGTTCATATAGTTTGGGTTTTTTTCTTTATTCTCATTGCAGTGTCACAATGGTTCTCCAAATAAAATGAGCAACAGGCCCCTACATTTTGGAAACCATTACTTAGCTTAAAACCCATCACATGCTATACCTCCTAGGTCATAGAAAGTAAGAGGTAAATCCAGGCAAAGGATTTACTTTGAAGCTGAAGAGAATTAGGGGATTACTGCAGTAAGGCACCTGCTGGGCTTGCAGTGTCCTTGAAGGACTCTTTAGCCTATATTTTCCCAGAGAATGAGAGGGAGTCTTTTCAACACAGATCCATTTCAACTGAGGGACATGGCTTTGCAAACTGCAAGTCAGCTCAGTACCTAGCTTCTTGGTTACTGCTGGGGCTGTGAGCCCAATTTCCAACCAGCACTAACAATATGGTGCAAAATAACCTTAAAATACCTAGACCATTCCACTAAATGATTCTGCCCACCAGATGGGAAATTACCTTCACCCATGGCTTGCCTGAAGTTGAGCAACAGTCATGAGTAATTCATAAAACTACTGTTATTTGAATACAACAAAAGCAGAATGCTTTGCTTCTCCTCCCAGTAAATGCAGACAGTACCAGATTTTGCTGAATAGCACTTCTTTCATGTGTCAGGCAGCAGAACCACCAGCATGTGCAGAGTCACAGCAATTGCCATCAATACCCCTAGAAAAAATGAAGTGTCCACCTTCATTTCTTCACCCACCCAATTCAATACTGGGAACCCAGGCCTGTACCTGCCCTGAAAAGCTGAAAAAGAAACTTTCTTCAATTAAAATCCTTCTAAAACAAAGGGAGTTAGAAGTCAATCTCATCCTAACTTCCACAGATAAAAGCAAACCCCCTTCTAACATCAGCATAAGTAGTAAGAGCCGAATATCTGATTCAAGTGTTACATAACCGCTTTCACTCAGAGTATGCATGTTTCCTCTCTGTAAAAGTTTGCTGTTACAAAAACTATTCTAGCAAAAAATTCTAGCAAGTACAAATAAATAAACAAACAAAACAATTAAATTGGTCTGTATCTACAAGTGTTCATACTATTTCTAGTTAAAACCAACATTATTGTGCAGGTTCCCCCCTATAGCCCAGACAGATGTTCTTATGAAAACAAAAACCAACCAAACACAAATGCCATCCAAGAACATCTAACTGATCCCATAACATCCAGTTAGCTATAAAATGTGAAGCTCTTTCTTTGCTAGGCATGTCTGTAGTACTGTCCAACAACAGAACATTTCAGATAAGCAGCAATGCAAAATTTTCAGAACTGAAGTAAAAATTTTATTAGCTATTTGCTTTGTTCTTCAACTTAATACCTGAACAGTTTTTAACGACTTTCCTCCTACAAACATGCAGAATTAACAACAGTGAATAAAATAAAATTTTATTCCAGTGTGAAATGCAACCTATACAACAGATCTGCTGGCAGCACCTTCCATCCAAGCAGTTTCTTAAGTAGCTTTAGCTTTAGCAACACGTTTGGATTTAACAGGAAAAAGCTGTTAATAGAGTACCTGTCTAGAAGGAGCAGCAGGGGAAGCTGAATCGACAGATGATGGAGAAGAGGCAGCAGCCGAGTCATGAGGTGGAGGGCAAGAAGGAGTTGGGGGCTGAGAATAGGATAAGCCTTTAGTAGATAGTTTATTCTGTGTAAAGCAGAAATAGGAGAGTTATCCAAGAGACAGTGACATTAGCAGAGGTTAAGAGAGTAATTTCAAAGTCATGCATGAAAAAGATAGGATAGTCATAGAATCATAGAATCTTTAGGGTTGGAAAGGACCTTAAGATCATCTAGTTCCAACCTCCCTGCCGTGGGTAGGGACACCTTACGCTAAATCATATCACCCAAGGCCTCGTCCAACCTGGCCTTGAACACTGCCACCGATGGAGAATTCACAACCTCCCTGGGCAACCTATTCCAGTGCCTCACCACCCTAACAGGAAAGAATTTCCTTCTTATATCCAACCTAAACTTCCCCTGTTTAAGTTTTAACCCGTTACCCCTTGTCCTATCACTACAGTCTCTAATGAAGAATCCCTCTCCAGCATCCCTATAGGCCCCCTTCAGATACTGGAAGGCTGCTATGAGGTCTCCACATAGCCTTCCCTTCTCCAGGCTGAACAGACCCAACTTCCTCTAATTCTGTTCTTTTTCCTCTATTTCTGCACAGGGAGGAGCCACAGAAATTATCAAGGTAAAACCTTCATGGCAAATTATATTACTGTACTCAGTTTTCTTTTAAAAATATTTACAGTGGACAGTTAGGTAAGATAGTGCTGTGAGAAAGCATAACAAAGCATAAGAAATGCCAGATTCCACCAAGAACTACAAATTCATTAGAAACTGTGAGCTACCAGTGTATATGTAAGCACAAGACATGGTTTATACTAACATTTCTCTCATGCTAACGTACTCTGATTAGCTCTATGATTTAGATTGTGTTTTGCCTCAAATTATGAATAATACATAGCCTTTTGCCAGTTACAGCAGAATCCACATTGTTTTTCAGATCCACCCAAGGTGAAAGGAAAGTTAGAAACAAAACTACTGAAATTTCCCTCCCCCTGATTTCTCGTATGTCTTCTAACTCAGCACTTTTTCAGGTATAAAACCTAATATTCACCTTTGGAAGCTCCATGTATCCAAACATTGAGGCAAGATGTGCTGCTTTCTCTTTAATGTTCTTTTTATGGAATTCCCTGTTTGCTACGGTCTGAGCTCTTTTCTGCAATAAGAGCCAGGGAAGGAATGCCAAGAAAGGAGAGAGAGAGAGAGATCTCTGTTAATGTCACATACATCATGAGAATATATCAAGTTTGTAGAAAGACTTTTTATTGTCTTAATATAGCCTATAGTCAACAGAGAAAAAGCCAGCACATATCTAGGGACAATACAGGATACAGATTAACATATGCAGTTAAGAGACAGAAAGGAAAAGAAATTGCTTGTCACCTGTTTCATTTTTTCCTCCAGGTGCTGAAGACGCTCAAGCACTCCAGAAAGTACAAATGCAGCAGAACAGGCAGATGCGAGATTTTCAGAGGTTTCTGACAGACTGGGTTGGGTATCTGTTTTTTGTACAGTCTTTGCTTTCCTGGCCATATGATCAGAACCATCTAAAGACTGTTTGGGTTCCCTGACCTCGTGTTCACTCCTAGCTAGCACCTGAAACTGGGAAACACTTGAAGTGAAAAAAATCTGCTTTCTGCACTACCATGCAGTATATGCAGCTTTTAAGAATGCTTCTGAAAGCACAGCACAGTCATGCACATAACTAGAATCAAAATGTTCTCACATCACTCTTTGCAAACTATCTACTGCATCTCTGATGCTTGCATCCATGCACTGAAATAAATCGGTCCTGCATAACTTACGCAGGTCTTGACATCCTTCTCTAGGTCTGTGTCAGTTTTTATGAATAACCCCAGTTAGCATCAGTGCAGAAGAACACGACACTGCATCTCCTTCCAGGTTTTTTAGCAAGGATTTTGCTTGCTTGTTTGTTTTAGTATTACATCTGCTTGAAACTAAACTTACAATCAACTTGTAAGGATATCAACAGTAGTTCTCAGTGTAATTCTAGATCTAGTCTAACCCAAGTTAAGCTATAAAGTATTTAAGATTTAAACAATTTTAAGGAGTTCATTGAGGATTTCAGAATAGGTCTCTGAATTTGAGTCTTTACATAGAATAGCTTTTGAAGTAAATAAAACATTTGAATCAGTTCAGCTTTATCAAACTCAGTCTTACCTTCCAGTTGGGTCTTTTCATGAGAGTTTTCTACTTCATCCTATCTGTCCAATTCAATTAAATACATAAACTTTCCAAATTTCTCAGAATTAAAATATAAAAACCTAATGCCAATCAACTTGCAGTGTGCTTCTGATGTTTCAGAATAGCAGATCTGCCTTTGAAACAGCAATTCTCAACTAGTTTATGAATCTGCATTTTTCATCAAGCTGATTGGCAGATTTCCATATGCAATGCAGATCCCATTTCACTGAAGACTACTCTTGCAATGCCCCTACATGGTATTTACTTCAATTTAACATTCTATTGTAAAGTGAATGTCAATACTATTTGATATAAGACTGCTTTCATTGGAAGTATCAAGAGAAAAATTTAGACAATGTATTCAAACATTTTGCCCCATGTATATGATGCAGCAAAAGAGTTTTCAGCAGAAATTCTTATCACAAGTTTTGCTTAAAGAAATAAAACCTCTGGGCATCAATATCAGCTTTTCAATGCTCAAGCTTTTATCTCAAATATTTTTGCCGGGTTTCTTGGGACGGAAAACTCCTTTTGCATTATCTTTACAATAGCCCAAAACATCAAGTACATGCACAGACAAATTTTCAGATACTGCTGTAGTTTTCTCACATGTTAAATGTAGCTATGTAATTATACAGTTTGGACTCTAGATGTGATAACACAGAAATCAACACCTATGTTTTTAGGTTTGTTTTGGTTTGGTTTTATTTCCCCCCACAGTTATTAATTCTTTCAAAGAGTTTTCTCATCTGGTCAAGCAGGTATAAAATAGCCTTAAACTTTAATGTGGTTTTCACAATTCTGAGCTAAATATATCTGTTAACTTTGCAGATTACATCCACATGTTGTTTTATATATTCTATAGTTACACAATAAGACTGAGTTCTCAGCAATGAGAGAAAAAGTGTGATTGTCTGGTGTTACCAATATGAGTTCCTACCTGCCTTTTTGGTTGAGGAGGAAGAAGACTTGCATCCTTAGGCTTAGCAAAGCGAGGATTAACAGGAGGGTCAGAAGAAAGCAGGCCTCGTCTATCTATTAGCTCCTTGTAAAGCATTTTTAAAATTACAAAGACAGAGAAGAGGGAAAAAAAAAAAAAAAAAGGAAGACAGTAAATAGGATTCAAAGGTCTTTTGAGGCAGATAGAAATAAAAGCTGGTTTTAAAGACACGTTACTACGGAGCTTAACAACATGCTTTGTAGACTTTTGTCACTGACCAATTTTATTAACCCCTTCTACCATCAAAGATATACTTAAAATTCAGCGCATTCAGGATTCTTTTAGAAAGGTTATGATCAAAAGGTAAAAAAAAAAAAAAAGCATCAAGCATTCCTTCAACAAGGTCAAGCAAACCTCTGCACACATAGCACATGCAGAAAACTCAGGGCATTGACAAGTAGCCAGGTAGAGCGCAAAGAACAGCAGTTCACACACTGCAGAAGTCACTTGACATCTACAGCCTACGTTTCTGGAGGACTTAAATATGTAAAAGAAAAAAATGGATACAAGCACAAAGAATTAAGAAAACCACCTCCTTCTGTGGAACCTCAACACCTTGTTCATCCTTCCTTCAAATATTTCATGTGACAGATCCAAACTCAGCTGACTCAAACCATCTCACTAGCTAAAGTGTGATTTTGAGTTTATGATCAGTACCTTGACAGCACTGGATTATCTTTAAACCATGAAAATGCCACTGAACGTACAAATATATTCCATTATGTCTACTTTACAAATGGAAATGCAGCCAGACACATCTTACAAAAGGTTAGATTACCTTCTATGCTTTCTAAATTTTCCACAAAGAAAGATTCCACTGGATGTGTAGAGTCCTTTAGTCATAGAATATAGGGAAAAAAAAAAGTCCTTCTGCAATACCATATGCAGTCAGCTGTGACTTCCACACAAAGCAAAAATTCTACAGACTGGCTTACAAGAGATTTCTAGACATTGCAATTCCACCAAACTTTATTATTAAAATATATATTAATACATTATATAAATATGCATTAGTCAACCTATATTAGTCAGATTTGTTCATTAACTATTGAAAGGAATACCTTTAATTCGCATACAGCATCACGTTCGCAAGGAGTGACTACAGTTTAATTTCAGAGATTACTTTTGCATTCACCTATGACATACCTGCCTCCGAAAAATTGTATTTGGAGCATTCTCTTCAAACTTTGCCAACAGTTGAGTTGCCATTGATTTAACTTTATTCTGGTTTGTTCCTTCTCTGCCATCACTCTGTTCTTTTCCATTTATCCCTTGGCTTGAAAAGCCTGAAGTCTGCAAGGAAACAACAAACTATGGTTTTCCTGAGTTTGCCTACAACACTCACGGAGAGATAAAAAGAGAGATGTAACATCCTTATCAGCAAAGGGCAATAGAAAATACATCTATATAATATTTTAAAGATGAGGCTGTTTAGCATGCCAAAGTCACCAACAAGTACTCTCTTTGGTCCCAGAGTACAGCAAAAAAGGGAATATTAACTGGTGTTAGTGATAAAACAGAGTCACCAACACCTTAAGCATTCTTGGATCTCAAAGAAAACTAGTGCAATTTAGGTGATGCTCTCCTCCCTGACAAATGATTTAAATAAATTTAGCTCTTCTTTAGTGCACACCATGGTAAATTCAAGGTTTTAAGGAGAGAGGCTGGCTTTTTCTTTCCTGCCAAGCACAAAAAGGGCCAAGCCCCAGCCCCCCAACTCCACTTCTTCCTCAGCTCTGGTGCTCATCAAGGAACTGGCTGAACACCACTGAACACCAACCTCCTCGAAGACACCAAAAAGACCTTTTCGACGTCTTTTATTAGACTCTTTTTCTTCTGTTTTCCCTTCAACCTGGAATGGTAAAGTCAAAACAAGTTTATGGATTACTGCAGCAGCTACCAGATTTACCCACACAGTTCCTCCCAGGATATTAACTTTCATAACCAGGCAGTGTGGTCTGGCCTGTGTTAAATAAGGCAAACCCAGGTGAGCAGTGCCAGCATGCGGGGATCCTCATGGCACTGGTGTGCCTCATCAAACCCTCACATGAGGAGGCTGGTGGCCCTCATGGGAGTTATCACATATATCAAAACTGCCCTGTAACCCCTGACTGGGAGCTCTCACTGGACTCTGATGGGTGAAAATACATGCTTCTACACCCTGTTGAACACAGGCCCTACATTGTTGGTGTTTATCTTGTCCTCTTTCAGTGTTGAAGAGTTTGTAATTCATAAATTACTGACACATCCTTGAAGGAAAAGGCATTACAGCATCACTTATTCTGTGAATTTTAGTCTAGACTACACTGGTTTACAGGTAAGTAACAAAATCCAGAAACCCCTTACTCTTTCACATCTTTTAATTAGATATCTGCATGCAGATCATGTGTTTATAGCGCAGACATACCTCTTTTTGGGAAGCAATTATTGTCTACCTTAAAGTCTGTCGCCCTTGTAAGGTTCATCTCCCTGACTATGGCTTTACATTACAATACTTAAGCAACCAAATTGCCTATTTTGTGCTCAAGCTACGCACATGTTTAATTACTCTACTGAATTAGGGATGACACAACAAATACTACTTCATACTCAGTCTGGATGAACTTGCAAAATAGTCAATGCTTAAAAATTTGTAACAGTTCTTATTAAATTCAATTTTGAAGACTTGGTACAATGGAAATTTTTTTTTTGTCTGATAGATGTCATGTTGGGTTACACTTTATGAACAATAGACTCCACTTATTTGCATCTGCCCATGCTGCATCTTAGTGATTGCTCAGCCAATTAAAAAAAAAGAAAAAAAGAATGAAGAGAGATCAAAGAATACAGGATTCCTTTTTATAGATACACTGTAATAAATCATTATGCAGTGAATAGAAGTAATCCCAAACAACTTCTGGGCAAACACCAAAAGAATCAGGTGACAGTATTTTGATTACTTGAATGCTTTGGTACATTGTCTTTCAAGCACTAGCTCTCAGTAACCTAGCTTAACACTGCCTATAGTCATTAGTCTACCAAGGAAAATTGAACAACGTAACAGCACAATGTATTCTGCATAATAATCTGTACCACATAAAAGCAGAATTCGCCTAAGTGAATGGAGCAAACAAGATGATGCCTTTCGAAAAGTCTTACACAAAGGACTTTAATTAAGATATTTTACAAAGAAATGAAAGACAAAGCAATTTAATTACCTAGCAAAACTGCAAGAAAAAGGACTGTGCCCTTTATTGTGTAAACACCTCTATTCATTTATTAGTCTGGAGCACAGGAAATCTCAGTTCCTCTCCAGCCCTGCTGACACTGTTGGAGAATGGAAAACATTATCCAGCCCAACACACCCTGCCAGAACAGCTGGCCACACCAGCTCCAGGGTCCCACTTCCTGGTCTCTCCTAATCTGAGCCCAGATAAGGATCCCTCTTCCAGCCAAATAAAAGGACAAACTAGATGGTATAGAAAGTTTTGTAAGCAACACTGTTACCCTGGCTGGTTTCTGAGTCTATGATATGTGAGTGCTCTCTTACAGTAATACCTGGATAATGCTCAGCATCACGTTTTGCAGGGGAAAGAGACATAAATCTGAAGCCAAACTCTTAACTCAAGCAGTTGCTTTCCAAAGAGTTTCATTTCCCAGCTAGTTTCAGCTGGTTCTGGCACCCAAAAGGCTCTGTTCTAACCCGAGTACCATGTTCCTTGCTTACTTTCACACCCCAGCCATGACAGGGCTGCAAAGCCCTATACAAAATAAGGTCTTCACAGTCCCACTCCCCAAGCTAATTTGGAAAATACCGCCTTCGCTTCTCATTTCAAACAAACCACTGCAGTGTGAAACCAAAGGGGCCCATCAAGCAAATAACCTCATGCTTTCATGTAGTGCCAAGAACTATACCTCCTGTTATGACAGAAGGCTTATTTCATGATGGGAGGTTAGTCAGAAGGGCTGCACAGCTTAGTAATGGAAAGCTCTCCCCATTACTAAAAAGTCTATTTACTTCCACAAATAACTCAGGGAAAACCAACAACACTGTGGTCATGAAGAAGATTTTTCTTCTGAAGAAGTCACCCACAAGAAAAAGCAATGTTTATTTTGCCTATTTGATTTCCCACTGGTTGGTTAGCTGGGAAATATCACTTGGTTTTGTGTATATGTGGGTGGCAGGGAAAAGTTATTTCCTAACAAGGATATATGAGGTTACTGTGTTGTCCACAGGTTTCAAAAATGTGTTTCCTTGTAGAAAATATCTGAGACATCATCTAGGAAATCACTAGAAATTCTACCTTCAGGTAGAAATTCTACCTTCAGGTAGAAAACGAGCAAACAAAAAATCCCACATTTCCATGAAAACTGAGAAGGTAAGTTGGCAACAAATTTAAAAAGCAACACATTAAACTACAGAGAATGCAGTACATACATGTACACCTGAACTTTTCTGAAGGACACTGAATTCCAAAGAATTTGGAAATGTGTAGTTTTGAAGGCAAAACTTAAAGAGTCTCTGCATAGGTGTAAATGAAGCAATACAGTTAAGCATGAATGAGGTCTATTAAAAAGGAAAAAAAAGAAAAGGAAGAAATAAAAAGAAAAAAAAAAACAACCAGAACCCAACAAAGCAAGGGCTTGAGAACTGCAGCAGTAAATACACAGTTTCTGACCAGCCCAGGAAAGTCAAAGCCTGGAACAATTTTGCATTAAGCTTTGTTTCAGAAAATACAGAAGTTAAATTCATTTTGGTGGAGTACATGCTGCTGTCTAACTTGTGCTGGTTAATCTGCAGCAGCTGGATTTGAGACACTGGTGCCTCTGAGCCAGGCTTTGCAGACATTCCCCATGTAAACTGAAATTAGAATGAAGGTAGGCTTGGCTGTGGACGCACAGTCCCTCCTCAAGGTCTCCTTGCAAAAGAGGACCAGGTTAATGAATAGGCAGAAGGTGAAACAGTTTATTACTGAATAATTTCATTAGAGTAACCTCTAAATTAAATCATAGAAAACTTTTGAAGTTTTAATCCATTCAGAAACATAATACTCTTACTGCACACAGTCCTATGCCACACAATATTAACTCAGGTCTTCATAACCTTTCAAGGCCCCAGAGTGTTGAATCACAACATGTATGGGCATGGATATGTTTTATAAAGGGGCATAAAAAGGGCATTTCAATAAGTCTTCACTAATAAGTGACCAAGAGAAGAATATATGTATATGAGTAAGAGAGCATCATCTCAGAGTCATGCCAGTCAGCCTGCCCACTGTTTGTTACCGTTTCAGGCTTTATACATCTTAAGTATTCGAAAGCTTCCCTCCAGAACCATGACAGCAACCACACCTGTTCAAAACACTGCTTTGTGAAAAAATAGCACTCACTCCCAATCAATAAGCCTTCTAGCATACCAGTGACTATTTGAACTGAAATATAATAATATGGCTGCATATTTAACTCTAGGAATACAGAACTACAGTACTATTTTTTCTTAAGGGTAGGAATAACCTAGAAAAATTCCACCAGACTTTCCTGTCTCAAAAAAAAAAAAACAAACTCAAGCCCAAAGCCCCCCCCAAATAAAATAATCCTTAGTATTTAGCATTGCACAAAACCTCCTAAAAATTATTTTGGAAAATCTTTTTTTCAAGAAATAAAACATAAAAGACAATACACATAACAGAGCCAAGATCTCAAATATTTCAAGTTGAAAATGTTAATTTGTAAACACAACAAATAAAACAACCTTCTCCTCTTATTTTCACCTTCACTGAAGAAGATATCAGTGGACAATAGATATTAATTCTCCCCAAGTACACCTAAATTCTCACTGTGATTTGAAATTTTGCAGTTACAGAGAATGCTTAACTGGGACTATTATTAACGCTTCAGCAATTTGACACTGACAAATGCTTCAGTATTATCCTTACAAACATCATAAGAACTGACTGTGCATGTGTGTGTTAGCTTTGTTTACTGTGAAATCTTATTTTTCTTCTTTAATATGCTCAAAAATCTCCTTCTACAGCTCTTTTAATAGTAGGATACATATAAAACCTTTATTTCTAAACCTGACAGCTTATTTTCATCTTCTCAACAGAGAAAGGTTTATAGGGCCATTCTTACCTTTGGTACTCGTTTTCTTGGAAAAGTTAAATTGATGTAATTATTAAAGATGAAATTGGATGATTTTGCTGAACAAAGATCGTTATGTTCTCCATTTTGCTTCTCACCAGCATCTGTTCAAAAAACAACTGCTTAGGATATTTACTCAAATTTCTTTTTTAAATGTTTTGTCCCAGGCAAAATTTTCCAGTTGAGTGCTGGTAGCAATGATACATAAGAAACCCAAGCCAATAAAATAAACACATACAATATAGGGTGACTTTTTAAAAAAGGAAGAGAAGCACCCAGGAATGGACAAGCTATATGCAGTCATTCTTACCAGAGAATCATTCTAACGGCCCGATACATGAACTTTATGATGTCAAGCAGCAGTTATTCAGCTGCTTCTGTTCTCTGAAACCACCAAGGACCCACAAAACCTTGGTCTTCAATCAAGTTTTTCCCCCTTTCATTTTTAAAGCACAAGGTAGCTATTGCAGACAGAAGCAGGCACTCTTGCATTCCAGAACAGCTCAGCTGGGAAAAGACTCTTGGCTCAAGAGCAGTGCTCATAAGCAGCCTGGATGAAGTGCTTCCGTCCCCTAAACTTGCAAGAATTAGGAGTGGCCTGGGTTTGGCTTACCTACTGCCCGCAGCGGTGTGCCCCTGAACAGTTCATAGAACTTGGAGAGGTACATGACCATGCTGAGCTTGTCGGGCTCCCCAGCCGACCCCACCTCCTTCCCCGTGGTCACAGGGGGGATCCCAAACTCCTGCTCAGCAACATCGAATGCCAGCTGGTTGTTTTTGACAACATCCTCTTCATTCAGAGCATCAAAGTCACTGTGGGGCAACACACTAGTATTAGTGGCAGTTTCCTCTCTGATTCCCACAGAAACATGCAGTGCTCATGTCCATCACATAGGTGCAGAACAGCACCACGAATGTGCACACAGGCATTTCACTGGGTCAAAGCGACAGATATGCCAAAGGTAAGAAATCCCATTATTACAAATCCTGGCTTTGCAAAACTGTAATTTAGAAGCTATTTCACTGAAATGGATTTTGATGCAGTCCCATGAAAAGGATTAGCTTATTTGTGAACAACTGCAATTCCTCCTTAGAAGTGCTAAGAAAATTTTATCCTCTCCAAATACAGCTGTACTTCTACAGAGTTCACCTGTTAGCAACTGACTTTTTAGTTTTGATTAGTTCTACAAAACATCAAAGTCAGGAGTAGAAAAATTTAGGCTCATGTTTTATGAAACAAACGTTAGGTGTACACACACACACATGCACAGGCGCTACCTTTCTTTTTAAGGTGTTCCACACACAGTTCAGATGAGGACCTACTGTCCATGTCATAACTGAATTTAGCAGCACACTAAATAAGTATATCACACATCTGGAACTGTGTTTATCCATTCTCTAATCCATTTTCTATGGGACCTATTCTAAGACTCTGATCTCTTGAACAGCCTCCAAAATTCATGATTAAAATAAACATGTGAATAAATTACAAAGCTCAGGGCAGGGTAGCTTCTCCTCATAAGGAATGTGAGGTTTTGAATCCCCAAAGAACTTCTCTCTCTCCCCACACAAACTGTCTATTCCTGGAGCCAGGGGGCTGCAGGCAGCCCTCCACCCCAGCCCTGCCTGCAATCCACAGGCAGCTGACTGCTGCCTGCCCAGCTTTGATCTGGCCAAGTCCTTCAGCAGTCCCATTTATTACAAAAAGCCAACAATATCTGAACACAATGTTAATTAAATAGCAGGAAGTCTGTTAGCTCAGGAAATCTATCAGCTTTCTAGAGAGAGCAGGGCTTAAGAGACATGCTTTCCACAGACAGAAAAGATTACTTTGCTTTCTACACTGTCCTCTCCACAAAACCATCCATAATTCTTTTAAACGAATAAAAGGGAAAAAACAAACCAAACCCAAAAAATCTAATTTTTAAAATCCTAGCTCTTCCTCTGGCAAAGCTGTACAAACAAGCATCCTTGATATCATTCCTGTTTTTTCCAAATTATCACACCTCATAAAAGAGCTCAATCATTTCTTTCATTTATCCACAGTAATGGGTGGCGGACAATAATTCATTCGTGACTCCTAAGTCTGTGTAGGTAGACAAGAGAATGCATCCACTGCATTCTGGAGACTGGTGAGAGGACAAAAGAGTCACCCCACCACAGACTGCAGCAGGCAGGCACAGTAACCCAGCACCAGCAATTGCCATTTCCTGACACCTATTAAACACCGACCCCGTGGTATCTAACAGAGGAACCTTACAAAACATTTATACATAAGAATGTATGTATTATAGAGTTAGGACCCCAGAAACACTGTCAAAAGTGGAATGCTGGCTTACATTCAATCCCTAAAGCAGTTAATTTTCAAGGGCCAGCCCTTGCTACACAGCCCACGTGCAAGGGAACTGTGCTCTTCTGGACAAAGAGTTATGCAAAACCACCATCTCCTGTGCACCAACATGGCCCACCATTTCCCTACATGACTGTCACAGTAACCACTACAATATACTGAGGATGGTCCATTTAAGGCTCACTCTGGTATTTCTGTAACTCATGACAGTGACGTTGTGGTTTCAAACATACACTAAAAAGCTGTCTCTAGAGACCTGGGAATGCAACTCTCACATTCTCCAAGCACTGCAATTTTCGTTTTAAATAGCCATGTGACAAACATGACCATAAATCATAAGGTTCAAAGCCTTCCTAGCTCTTTGAAAGCATATATACTTCATTTTAAATGGTGTGCAAAGACATACAAAAAAAAAACCAAAGCAAAAACTACCCCACCCTCTCCATCCCCCAAACCTGGCAATGGTGTGCATCTCCTTGCAAAGACCAGAAATAAAAGAGGACTCTGGAGTATCAGTGTTGTTCTCATTGGTTTTACCCTATACTTTAGTAAATGCTTAACATGCCTACACTTAACAAGATCTACAGATGCCACTTACATGAGGTCAGGTCTGAAGCGATGGATAATAGCACACAGTGCAAGGCCACTTTTCCAGGAGGTAGTCAGGTCTGTGATGTTAACATTACGGTACCCTTCTGTCTGCTTCTGACACCAGGTCAAAAGCTTGTTAGGTCGAATATCTGACTCTGCAGTTACAGTGGAGAGCAAATGTTTCAATCAATTTTTGTATGCTCAGAATGCTCTAAATACTAAGCGCTGCAGGAAACATGAGATGTCACATACCGTGTCTTGCGAGATTCACTGATCTTCTAATGGAGCTCACTCTTTCAAGAGGACATTGTTGTAACTCAGTGGTAACATATAATTGTCTCACCTACAAGTAAAAGCAATTAGCAGCACAATGTGAGAATCGCTTAGAGAGAAAAACAAGAGTTACCCTAGAAAGAAAACTTTATTAACAGTTGGCTCTAAATTAAGGAATCTCCTGAAGATTTTGTTCATGCACTATTTACAGCCCTGATTTCACAAGCAACCTTTTAAGAACTAACCTGATGAGGTCGAACACAGCTTGAGTTCAAATTTGGGTATCTTGTTCCAGGGTCAATGGTATACTGGTCAAAGTTCTTGTTAATATTTTCAGGGGTAGTCTGAGGCAAGAGTCGATAAATGCTCTCTCTGGTAGAGAAAAAAAGATGCAAGATATATTGATTAAAATAAATATTTATTACATAAAGTGTATTTATTTTTTGCAGCTACCTGCACCTTATTTTGATTCTGCTAGGACAAGTGTTATGCACTAACTGCATAATGCATCCATCCTATTTCCTATCCCCACTCAGCAGAACAACAGAAAAATGCCAGACAAAAAGGACAGTAAAAAGACAGACGCTCAGAACTTATGCCCATATTTTCCTGAGGCAGGAAGTGAGCAAGAAAAAGAAGAGGAGGGAGGAAAAAAAAAAAAAAAGGTTACATCATTCAGTCATCTGGTTTTGCTTTAACATCCACACAAGGAGTAACTTATTTACCACATAACAGCACTAAATCCTGTCATTCTGCAATGCCTATAACCACCACAGCCTTTTTATTATGCTGTTCAATTTTCCATTTGGGACTAGGCTGTGTTTGAGTCATCCCACAGGCTTCTATCTTAAAACTTCTCAAAGCACTGTTCTTAGTAATGCTTCTACTTGCATTACTACAACCATGACTATTTCTATTGTGTATCTGCCCCAGAAACACCTGGGCAGCTGTAGCAGAGCAGGGAAGTTGCCATCCGGACCAGAATCAGCAACTTGAACCATCAGACCATGGCAACACCAGGATTGCTGGTGTACTTATGGCTGGAAAGTTAGTCTTTTGACACAACCAAAGTAACTCCGGTTTACTTCCTTAAGGATCTCACTTACTCCTAGTCATTAGCGACTTAAATTAATGCTGTAAACCCATGTTATACACATTGCTGGATCTCTGTATTAGTGTGCAGAAGTGTACAGCACAATGGCCTACTGCTATTGTAAACTGTTTAGTAACCTGAGCTAATAGATAATCTCAACCCAATGCCATCGCAGTGAAGAATATTTTTCCTAGTGGCATTCTGAACTTCACTGCCTTCTACTAGTGCTGCAACTCCTTCAAATACTGGGAATGGTGGAGAAGACAAAAGCAGCACTTACCGTTCAGCAAGAATTTCTAATGGGGGTTTTCCTTGAGCCCAGCTCCGCACCATCCATGCAGTATCAAAAGCAGCTAAGAAGCCTCTTGCACAGCCAGTACCCATTGGCCAGAAGGGCTGTAAGAAGCAATTACATTTTAATTCCTTGTATTAATGTCTTATTACAAAAGTAACCTGCAATGTGATTTTGGAGTCTAGGGTTTCATACTGTAACAGAAAAGTAGCCCTGAAAGAGTTAAAATGCAACAACTTGCAATTTTTAGACATTTCTCTCCTCCACATCCTAGGTAATGAAAAAAACTGCTTTCACATTTTCTTTTTTTAGCTTCTATATTTAAAAACAGATTTCTTAACCTCTAAAGGTACAGGCTGACAGGAAAACAAGGAAAAAATAAAAGAAAAAAAAGACTCAATACTCAAGAATTACTCTAGGAAAAAAAAAAAAGGAAAAAAAATGCCTTTCTTCCCATCTCCTAATTTTGCTTTGAACTGATCTTTTCAGACACTTCAGGCTGTCAGCATGAATTAAAAAAAAAAAATAAAAAAATTAGTTGTGAAATACACTTTTCACTTCAGAAAAATAGAACATATTAAGGCAAAGAGACTACAATTCAAATTTGGACCAAGTTTTCTCTATGATGAAAGTCAGGAAAATTATGCCATGCACCCAAGCTGAGGACACACAGCTCAGTTTTCAGACAGAAAAAAAACCTTGCATAAAGCAAAATAGGATCTCAGCTACAGGGTGTGAGCCAAGCATTAGTTATGACATAACTATGGCATAAAAAAAAAGGAAAAAAAAAATCTATTCCAAAGAAAGTACACATAAGAGAGTACAGTTTGTTTTGGAGGGTAGACTGAATGGCTCGGTTAAGGGGAAAAAATAAAGATATACCTCAAGCAAACTATCTCCAACAAGAGCCACCAGGAGCTGATGTCTGTGTCTCTGTCTCACTAGCGCAGCATTTTCAGATGCATACATAGAAGTAAAATCAAACATTGCCACATCTGGTTGACCATAGTGATTAATTGCAAAATCCAAGGAAGGCAGCTGGTAGTTGGTTGCAAAGTCAGCAGCTTCTCTAGCATAGGAGAGCAAATTGCTCTGGTTCACATTCTCGCCACAGAGGAGCAACTCAGTATCAATATAGTCCTGCAGGGAGAGAAGCATGTAGATTAGATACTCCAACTATACGCACTGGATTGGAACATTGCAGTGTCATAGCATGAGTAGCAATCACACATCTCACAGCATAAAGAACCACGTAAAGTTTGTGATCTCCTCCAAGAAGTTAATACAAAACATCAAAAGATGTTACCATCATCACTGCAATGCTTTCTTGCATGTGTGCACCCCACATCTGAAACCACACGAGAGCAGAAATACCAACATACTGATGATATAACATGCAGGTCTCAGCCTCAAGGCTTGACTTAACACCTCGGTAACAATACATTCAAACTTACACTGTGGAAACTTTTCTGTTGTGCTGTTTTGGGCTGGGTTTTCTTTGGCCAGTGTGGTAAAGGCCCCCACCTTTGCAGGTCACCCTACTTAAAGCCAGTGATTATTAATAAGGCAGTTTCTATTTACAGCTTAATCGCAGATGAGACCCCTAATCGTAGGGATGATACCACAGAACCCCTATTAGCCCAGTTGTTTTAGAGAGACTGTTTTGGTTTCTCTCCTACTCAGACCTGAGCAGCTTAGAAGAGCTCTGACAGCCACAGCTTCTGCTCCTCTTCTTCAAACTACCCACAGACCTCCCAGGACTGCCCTCACCTACAAACATCAGCCCCTCAACCCCAGGACCTATGTCCAGTTCTGTCCACCCTGCACTGCAGGGGGGCTGATGCCCTTCCCCTCTCCCATCCTGGCTGGTCAAGGCCAGCTGCTCTGCTCTGGGACCATCCTCTGAAAGGGCAGGAGTTCATGGTACCAAGCTAAGTGGTCCCATCAGGAAGCCAAGCAGCTTTCTGATAGCTCCCCACAAGTACTTCCTTCGGGAAATTATACTCGACTCATTTTGGCACTGTCTTACTTTAAGAAAAATTGACCTCTCTTGAGTTTCCAGGAAGACAAATTTAAATGATGCCAAAACACTCTCTAGAAACAAAAGAGAATAAACCCGTACATCTTAGAGAAGAACAAAAAAAAAAAAAAAGAAAAAAGGCCTCAAAGGCCTGAACTTTCAGAGGTACTTGGGACATTGTGCTTATAGCCTACTTATATCATGTTCTATGCACATTAGAGAATTTGCAATTTAGCCTGGGGTAGGTCTTCCTTATTTGTCTGATAAAACTGGACATAGCTGTGTTAAGTTCACCTTTAAATAATGAGGATTTTATTTTCTAGTGTGATGACCACACTACATATTTCCAAGGTGAGTCAAGATCCCATTTCAGCCAGTTTCAGAACTGATAAATTTAGGACATATTGTTTTCAGTTCTCTACAGAAACTTGGTGCTGACTGGAGGGAAAAAGAACATTAACAAAAAAAGCCACAGTAAGATCTAAGAGATCTGAGCTTTCATGGAATGATGTAGTAAGTCCATAAATACCCTCTATAACATGCATCAACATTTATGCAGATGTTCACACTTATTCTGTGCCAAGTAAATAAAATTAGGTTTTAGCCAGCATTTTTACATACATTAATAATCACTCCTTTGTCCAGAAGACTCTGCTTTTTTGCTGTCATCACAAAATAATGAGTACTATCTTTATAGTAAACAATATTCTCCAGGTCAATTCCTGAAAAGAGATAATACATTTGTTATCAAGCACTGCCTGTGTACTTTACTAACAACATGTGACAGAGCCTCACAGATGCCTTTCCTTCTTGGGATACCTTAGCAGCTGGGATAAAGCATTAGTGGACAAGATACTATTAAAAAAAACCCCAACCCCAACAGACAAACAAAAAACAAACAAACCACACACACACACACACACAAACCCCACAATCAAACAAACAAACACAAACCCCAAAAACCCAAAAACCAACCAACCAAAAACCAAAAAACCCAACCAACCCACAAAACCAACCAAAATCAAAAAGGGAAATAAGCCAGTAAAGTGCTTTTTAGGTTGCTGGGGCTCTGGCATTGGGTCTAACCAGCAGTTTGGGTTTCTATTGTAGTAATTTTTAATAAATGAAATTAGCTGTACATCAAGAATGGAATTGCTTGTACTGACAGCGCAACTCCTCTGAAACCCCTTTTCATGAAGATGTTTCATAGTTTATATTTTAAGTATTTATGGCAGATTCCTGTGTAATTCTTTTCAGTTTATCAGATCTGCACATCAAAACCGAAGATTAAACTCCTCCCAGAAGGGCAGAGCCTTTTTCACAGGGTTTAAGCTGTTCAGTATGTGAACAGATACAAACAAAACAAGCTATGTCTTAAGGGAAATCTCTGGGCACTGCAAATGCTCTTCTAAATTTGTTCAAGATAGCAGACATTTTTACAGTTGAGAAAAATTTAAACAGTAAAACAAGCTATGAGGTAGCAACGCCCAAGCTAAAAAATATAAATAAATAAATCCCACTGCACCATAAATGGACACCTCCATCTGCAAGGCTCTGACATCAATGGCATTTTAGGCAGTTTTTTTTATACACTGTATTTAAATTGATGTGAATAGGAGGGTGGCCTGGCACATGAAGAGTTCCTCTATTCTCTCTTGTATTTGGTTGTGGAAATAAGAAAAAGAGGATGCACCCACCCGTTTCCTCTTTAAGATCCTGGAAGAACTTCTGATTGAAGATGAAAGCAACACCACTAATTTCTTCTACCTTGGCTTCTGCAGTTGTATTTCTATTTATAAAATTGGCAGTGATAGCTATGGCCAGCTTTCCACGGAACTCCTTCCTCCTGAAACCTGGTAAGCAAAGAAAAAATTAAAGACACTGAAAATTTCACATTGGACTTCCAGGAAGGAGCTGCGCAAGGCAGCTTGGTCTCTTTTCTGTGTCTAGCCCTACATATCAAACAACACACCAGAAGCAGCTTCCATCACTTCTCCAAAATTCCCTTGAATGAAGGAGTCTTTTCTCCCCACTTCAGTGCAAAACTGAAGCTGCACTGCATTCAAGATAAAGTCTCAATAAGATAAAAAAAAAAAACCTGGAGGGGAACCATGGGAAGAAGTGCAATATGGGAAGAAGTTAAGAACAAATGATAACTAAAGAACAACAGATTGGAAATAGATCAAATTTAATGGAGGAAAACATTATTAACATGTAAAATATTAAGTAAGATTTTTGTTACATAGATGGTAAACTGCTTAAGAAAAAACATGCAAGGGGATCAGCAGTCAAAAGCAGCAAAGAACGATCTGAAAAACAGAAACCTCTAGAACAGTGCTTAGATGCACATACTCCCAGCTAGTGAGGTTTTCCAAAGATATTAGGGGATGAAAAATATTCAGTGGCTTATCTGTCATATTCCCAAGGTGAGATTGACTGCAAAGTCACTCGCTGTCTTGCTCCATCCTAGCTTCCTCTTTTCACAAAAAAAAAAAAAAAAAAAAAGGCCACTAAGCCACTATCTTGCAATTACACATTGAAGTTTTTCCGTCTGGATATTCCCCTTTACCTGTAAGTAAATTCTGAAGTAGGACAGAGGGTCCTTATTTTTAAGGCCAATTGCAGATGACTTTGCAGAGAATACATGTAGTTTTTAAGAAGAAATAAATTAGCTATAAATTTTTGTCTCTGTGCTTCTTGATATGGTCTCATTATTTCACTGGGATTGATTTGACAATACCAGCCTCTGTATGTAAACAACCTTCAGTGCACTAATTTTTCCCTTAGATCCTGGTACTACGATAACCACATTAACTTCTCAATAGAGTCTGTAGCTGAGGTAAGAATAATTTCATTTTGCTGATACCTTATTATTTAAACAGTCTGTTAGAGAGGATAGCTAGACAATACTGTGGGGTAATTTCTAATCGAGCATTAACTCTAAACATATTGTGGTTGGCAGATATAAGAATAAGCAAACTATGAAGCTAATAAAGAAGGAAATAGTGTACTTAGTGAACTGAAACTAACATGGATATAATTAAAGCTACAAGGCAAATATATAATTAAGTAACAGGTTTGTTCATGTGATACAGGAGCAGCTTAGCTAGTGTCTCGTTAAAACAGACAGCTCAGATGGTCTGAATTCTCAGAAGTGGCTCCAGATAATGAAGCATTTCCCCCCTCTTTTGCCCTCCTTGCTTAGAGTTATTATCTTTTGGTATCATTTCCAAAGTATTTGCTTTTGAAGTTAAATCATCTCTGTAAGACAGCAATATCTCTGATGCCTTCATTAAATACCTGACAGTCATGTTTTGGTCATTAGTTGAAACATACAGTACAAGTTTAAGGCACAATAGCAAAGACTAGACAATTCCTGCCATGTATCTAGTCAGCATCCTTGAAGTAAAATCATATAATTGCTGAAGCTTGAAGCAAGCCCAATGGCGTCATGATGAATTTTGTAGGCAATGCAGATACACAGAGCTGAGAATTGGTAATGACATTAAATGTCTTTATTTTGAGCTACAACTTAACAACAGAAGCAGAAGATACCACATAAAAAATAGTTTCACAGACTTTAGTGGATTGAAAAGTCTGTTGTTTTGTGCTCTCCTAAGCACATATTCACCTACCTTCTAATGTGTTCCTGCGGCCATCTGCACCAATAATAACATCAAATTCATACTCTGACAAAGGGTGATCCATGGGGAGAAATTCAGCCCTCCAACCTATCTCTAAAAACACAAGGAATAATACTTATTCATTCTTCAGTATACAAAGGAGAAGCGATTCAGAGTCTGAAGAAAGGGCATTAGGATAAATTATCCATTTCTCATTCAAACAGAGCTGAATTTTGCCCTGGTCTGATGGAGGGAAGCTCTGTTGCAGTCAAAGCTATGCTCAGGCTGTGTTAGCAAGTTGTCAAGCTCGTAAACTGACAATAAGAAAAAAAAGAACAGAAGGCTTCATTTGAATCGCCTAATGCACTAAACTTCTTCTCAGACCCGTATCACAATGAAGGACTGGGTATTAAAAGAAGAAATATAGCATTCCATCATCAATACTTTTTATTACCTTCTAAATAGAAATTAAATGTGAGCATGCTCACAAACCAAAATTTAACCTTTATGTTAACACAAAGCTGATTATGCAAAAATGTTTGCATTGTCCATATTTAAAAATTATATATGATTTAACTACCTTAGACATTTATATATTTTATAGGAATAAATATAAAATATCTATTTCTATATTTTATTTATATAAAATATATTTATTCTACTGTCACTATAAGATCCTTTAAAAAGAGACAGCATAGTATTTTTAATGAAAGCAAAATTTTAAAATACTCTATTGCAACTACACCCTACATAATAATCTTATTAAAAAAATGGAAAAAAGAATGAGGGATCATTCTCTATTTTGTTTAAAAACCTTGCATAACATGCCTGATAAGACTCTGTGCACCAGTGGGAGTTACATCAAATGTGAAAGCAAAATGAGGCCCAGGGAGCTTAATCCATCCTCAATATTTATATTATCAATCAAAAATTGTTTTTGCAAGAAGATACCAAAAAGCCACACCAGACTCCCTACAAAGCCTCAAATGCATGCCAGAAGGCATAGTCCAAAACCTCATCTTCTCCGACTGGGCTGTATTTTAAGAATTATCAGTGCTCTGCCACAATGACACAAATCATGATCACAACCGTGTACAGCAAACCTTGCTGAATAAGAAGGGCAAAAACTTCCCATTTCTTTAGACAGAATTCACCTTGAACGATCGCACATAATGCCTGCCAAAAAGAAGGTACTGTGAACAAAACTACATTATGACAAATAATACTTTGGTTTTCTTGATCTTCAGGAGGTTCCAGGACTTTCACAAATTCTAGATTCACATGGATTTCAACTCCTAGTATAAGTGCAACTTTGAAGAGGATAAGTTGAAGCTGTCGAATACCTGTAGACAGTGAGTAATGAAGAAGTATTTAATACATAAGTAATTACAGCTGCTACAAGCATGCAACCCAACTGATATTGTTAACACAAGCATGCAGCGTTATTATTTCCCATACTGTGCTGAATGCAAATGTAGCAACCGCCACAGCCTGTTGCTCTCTTCTGTCTCATTTTCCTCTGGCAGCAAAATCTGTAGGTAATAAGACTCACTTCAGTGAGTTTCTAGCAATACTTATATAGAACTTTCCTTTTTAATGACATTTAAAGGATCTGCTAACCAGTATGTTGACCATTTTAGAACAGAATATTATACAGCATATTTACCTGTAAAATACCTCACTTTCACATATTTTTTCATTAGATTAAGGGTTGTGTCTATCTTCAACATACTAGAATGAATGTCAATAGTCTTCATACTTCACAGTTAAAAAAAAATAGTTTAACAAATCCAGACTAATAAAAAAATCTACTCTGTAAGACTGTCAAATGTTCAACTGCCATTTTGTTTAAATGAGACCATTTCTTTTCCTCTGTGTGTGTGTGTGTGTGCAAGCATGCACTTGAGCATGTTTAAGGCAGACGAACTTTCTGCCAAATCAAGAAGTCTCTGGTAATCATCTGATTTCAGTACACCTGTTATCTGAACTGTGCCCATGCCCTTGGATACTTACTGATGTGATCAATAGATCCTGCACAGAATTTTCCATAGAATTTCTTTGCTCCCAGTCCCCGGAGATCATGGATTGTAAATGGCCAGAGATGCAACACATTATTTCTTGAAAAGGTGTCCCGCTTCTCCACAACGACAACTTTGGCTCCCAGAAAGGCAAGTTCTATGGCAGTCCGCAAGCCACATGGGCCACCTCCAATAATTAAACACTAGCACAGAAAAGAAGGAGTCTTACACAGGGTTTTGTATTGACTTCCACACACTCCTCTGTTACAAATTGATATTCAACCAGATATACACTACTGAGAATGGATGCAAGTCATCTATTTAAACCAATAAACATTCAAATTCTGCTCGTGTGGCATTCAGTCAATTTATACAAGAGGATAAGCTGTGCTTCATGCAGATGTAGAAACATCTGATAAAACGATATAACAAGAAACAGAAAAAAGCTAAACAGTTTTGAGCACCTGCTTGTACATTTCTAACTCACATTTAGTGTTTCAAAACTGCTTGCAGTAAACAGGATTACAGCTACATAAAAAAGAGAGGAAAGGAAATAAGTGGTCTTGTTTTGAAGAGGAAATAGGTGGACATTTGTTAGACTTGTTAAACAAATCTATGATAAGCCAGTAATCTTACGGTACTAGTTACTCTTTCAAGTGATGATGTATCCTGAATATGACAACCTATTTCACCTACTGTCATAAAGTAGTGCATGTTAAGAACAGTCAGCAGACTTGTACTCCCTACCAGAGCCAAGGAACTTGACCTGCCCTATTCCATTTCACCCACTGGTCAACATCCTCACTGTCAGCACAATCACATTTTAGGAGCTTAAGTCTAAATTTGGGCATCCTCAGAAGAACTGCTTCAGAAATCACTACAGAGAATTCTTGCCCAAATTTTAGTTGACAGCTGTAAGTTTTCACAGCCTAACAAGCAAAGGATTTCCAGGAAGCAAACTAATTAAGACTTAACATATTTAATGCTTATGTTTTCCTGACTGATTACTAAAAACTGATTAGAAAGTCTCATCACTGCTGTTCCACATCTCCCCCAAAATTCACCCTACCTCCCCGAAAACACCCAAAAACACTCATGGACTTCACAAACTCTATGCCACCAGTTCAAGCACCAGGTTCGGACAGGGAGAGACAAGGTGAGCCTTAATGGAGAGAGGCTGAGCTGTGCTGCATTGCACCCCAAACCCATTATCTCACACACCAGACATGCTCCTGTGCATCCTGCACACATAGCCAGACAGTGATTGAAGCTTCAAAGCAAGCATGGACTGTATTTGGAGGCTTGTTGGATACAAGTCTGGTTCCCATTACATTTCAATTTCATAAAATAGAGTCATTTATTTATTTTGGTTCGTTCAACATTTGTTTTCAAATTTAATAACTTAAGCAAAAAATTACCCAGTGCTGACTTTAGTCCATGACTTTTGTCCAACCCAATCATAGAAGTGCCAGGGATTTTTTTAATTTAATAATTAATCTGAGTAAATTCCCACTGAAAGAAGAGTTCCTGTGAGGTGCTTTTGCTTTGCTTAAGGCAAGTGTTCTTTTAACTAGAGACATTAAATAAGTTAAAGATAGGTTGTTGTATTAACCATTTGGCTTTCTTCCTCTTAAAAAGAACACATTTAATTCATAATTTCAGAAGAACACTCCTCACTCCATGCTAAGTATTAAAAACTAGCAACAGATGTAATTATATAAAGGAAGAAAATAGAGTGCAGATGTTACCCCAGCTGAAGAGGATCTCTGGTGGGTCAGCTCTTCACTGCACATGCATGTTGTGATTAACATGGGAACTGCGAATTCTAACAAGTAAGTGACTGCCTTCACAGGTACAGAGTTTTCCAGTAATGTTTAGCAAGCAGTTAGAAAGATTTTACAATAATGACCATACATGGTTTGACAATGTGGGGCTGGGTTTTGGCTAACAAACTGTATTATATACACACAACTTTTTCTTTAAAAAAGCGGCCTTTGAGATTTAGCCATAGTGGATCCTGCCAAGGAATAAAACCCAAGCAGAAAACACTCTTAGTTCCTCTGGGGGCTCTGCAACACAGTATGTTACAATTCTGAGGAGGATTCTGTCCCCTCCCCTCCTCCTGTGACCATTGGCAAAATGTATTTGTAACTCCCTAGAGACACCATGAAAAATGGTAGTATATTTGTCATCATCCATGGTTACCTTCCATAAACACATTTATCTGTGTCTCAGCACTATTTGTTCTTTGATTTATTAAGGACACTTCCTGCTGGTGTAGAGCTTACTCTTGGCACTTTGTCTTTTTTTTTTTTTTCTTTTTAAACTTCTGGGGTCAAAACCAACATAAAACCCTTGCAAAGGTAATTCTTACTGTGTTTGTGTTCCTACCTTTATCAAGTAAGGAAAGAGAGCATACCACTAGCCTGTCCCTTCCCTCCCTCCCAAACTCTCTGCTAGCAAAGTCACAGGAGAAACCTTGTTGTAGTCAGCCTAGAACAAGCCTTGAATGGCTTCCCATTTTCACCTCCTGTTACCTCAGTCTCCTGGCTCATCAGGGCCTGCTTTTGAAATTAACATCTTGCAATTTAACACCGATTATGAAAACTGACATCATGCAAGGAAGTCTCAAGCAATCAATCCTGAAATGTAACAAACATGGATGGACAAATGCCAAGGGTTTCTTGACATCCACATCACCATTCACAGCTCAACTGTCTTTCAATTGTGCCAGACCGCCTCCTAAAAAGGTAAAGGGTAACTCAAAAGCATCTTCCGCAACTTATTCAAAGTAACAGTTTCTCAAGGGGACTGACAAGGAGCTTTTGCATATTTACTTTTCAGGCTGCAAATGAAGGGAGAAAGACTTGTACAGAATACAGGGCAGCTTGTTCAAGAATAAGATCATGACTAGACTTCCATAACATACCTGAAGATTCTGTATCATGTTGAGTTTATATCCTGTTTTACTGCATATATACACCACGTTAGTCCAAGATAGCAATACTGAGAGAAGGCATATTTCTCAGCGAAAACCTCATACTACAAAGGGTGAGGCTGCCTGCAAACATACATAAACACTTCCTGTTAAATCAGAAGCTTCATTAAATTTAATACACTCCCCAAGAACAGCATGGGCACACCTGCCTGTGCTCCATCACCTCATCAGCAACAGGACCATGTAAGGTTATGTACATCAAATTTCCTGCTCCAAACTCCAGCTATGCTGTAACTGGCAGTACTGAAGAGACTGCCCATAAACACCAACTCCTACAAGCAACAGTCACCACGAGTACTTTTCATCAGGATTTTATGTGAGCTAAGTTCATCTACTCTTCTTGCAAATATCCTGGATATGAATGATACCAATTACTGCTTGCAATAAATGCAACAAGGAAAATTTTACACTTACGATATAAATTATCATAAATAAATGGACATGCTGGTTTGAGTTAGACTTCTGCAAAGGCATTTTTTGAATACCAGCTACAAAATCCCCATTGAAGAGGATTAAGGCAAGTTTACAGGCCAGTAACAGTTGCCTAGTGACAAACTTAGGACAATTTCAGCTTACAATTATAAACATTAGGTAAAGCATGGAAATTTTTGTACTTCAAAATAAAACACTAATAAGGCTTTGCATATTTTACAAAAGTTGTCACTTAAACCACTGAGTAAATAATATGGTTTTATGGTACTGTTAAAAAACACCATACTTTTCCCTAAAAGATAATTACTTGTTTCTGTATAAATCTTGTCTCACTTAAGCACACTTCTTGTTCCATTATTTATCTTCAGACTGAAATAGAGCAGAAACTTTGTGTATTTTTTCCCCAAGTGCAATTAAAAGATATCAGAAAGTGTTCACTTGTAATAATATAAACATACACAGCATTTGGTAAGTCTCATAAGCTTGATTCTACTCAAAGGTTGATCTGACTCTATGAGATCCTACTTTCTCTCTACTGGTATGTTTAAGAATGGCAGTGCCTTGAAAATCTCCAGGAAATGTTTCTACACTGAATAAGAGCACTTAGTGCTGAGATAAATGGCAGCACAAGTTACCTCCCCAAAAGCAGAATGACTTCTGTGCCAGGCACAGGTTTTTGGTACGATCTCCTCTATACAATGTACAAACATGAGACTTAAAAATAGAAGGACAGGAAAGAAGAGAGGGATGGGAAGTAGGAGCCTCTTGCAACCCCTCCTGTCCCCCACTATTAAATCAGCAGCTTGTGAATCCAGACCCCTATATCCCACTCTGGAAAAACCATATGCAGTTTAACAGCTGAGAATTTGTAGAACTCTTCCATTGGTTTTCACACACTGAAGTAAATCTTTATATAGAATACAGAAACAATTGAGGCTTTGAGAGAAAGGGGAGAGAGCAGATGAATACTAACACTACTCTTAAAAAAAAACCCCACCCCACTCCACAATGACCTAGTCACAGAAATCTCTCATCCACTTTAATAACTGACAGAATCTACTCATTGACCTTGAAAAATGTAAAAAAAAAAATAAATATATATATATATAAATTTGTTAGTCCTCCACATTTACATGCTCACAGTTGAGGAATGCACCAGTTGGTAGTAGCACGTGGGTGGGGGATGCAACCAAACTGCATCTCTTTGCACGGTTAAGAATAGACAAATCCCATTGTAGCTCAATGCATCACATTGTTATTACCCAGCTTTAAATCCCTCACTCCTCTCCTGCTCAAGGTACCTCACCATTAAATTAGTCCTGGAAAATCAAAATATGTTCAATGATGACCCACTTCCTGTGGGGTGGGGATGAAGAGCTACAACCACTCCAGGAGTTCAAGACTTTCTCATTTCTGCCTTTCAGTTGCTTTAGAGGTGAAAAAGAGGAGATTAATTTTAGACTCCAGCTCAACAGCACCTGGATAGATGCAGAGACACCCTTTATCGTCCAAAGGCATGCCTAGCCAGAAGCACCATTTCTACTCTTCAGTGGAAATACACACACGTACACTAGTGAAAAAAATACTGAAAACCATCTACCCAAATTATTTAACTTCTTTCAGCTTATATGTAATATTTGCCCAAAGTACTAACTGGAAATCAAAACCTATAGGAATGGATCATGCTGCTAGAAATGAACACCAACTCCCCACATGCCTCAAGGTCCCTGCCTGGTGCTGCAGGTTTCCCCAGGAGGCTCTACCCATGCCCAG